AGGATTATAACACAAATGAAGTGTATGCAAACCACAACCTGTTTTTAGAAAGCGAACCTGTAAAGTGCAGGTGTGGGTCAGTACACTGCCCCCAGGTGTCTCTAGGCTGTTACTACAACAGCACAGAGTGAAAAGGTGAGGCTGACTCAGCATTCTGAAGTGAATCCTGAAGTTTTTTATCTGTAGCCAGTGCTGATACTGAATTGTTTAGAATCTACAGAAACTGATGGCCGATCAACTCTGACAATATTCTTGGCCCAATAAGGAGGGCTGATTTTAATTATTTTATATACTTTGAATTAACTACAAACTTATACACACCCCTGTTTTACTACAAACTGGATAAGAGAGCAGTGTGGTCACATTTTGTGCAGTGTCTTTCTCTTAGTTAAGTGTTCAAATAAAGCTTTATGCATTTTCTTTTGGCAGCTGGTTGGCCCAAACAAAACATCAGCCTCTGCTGCTGATTTAAGGCCAGCAGCCTAATGTAGACAATATTTCACCTGTATATGCATATTTCATCATATGTTTGTCTATATATCTGTAGTATATTGATTTATATCTATTGCTGCTTAAAACCTTGCTTTATTTTACTACTTTTCTACATGATTACATTCTTCAGACTCTTGACCTTTTTTTAGACTGACCATTTAAGCAGCTTTGCACAATTGTTTAATTATGAGAACAGCGTGTAATAATCATTTCTCCGTTTGAAATCGACCTCTCTACCAGATTAGTGCCACTTTGGAGGCTCATTTTGCTCCTAGTTATGCCACACAGTGTTTTGAGGGATTCTGGACAGTGCGATCATCAATTATGCGTGAAAGCCATTTGCGTGGTGCTTGCTCCCATTGGTTTCTGGATGTAGAGCTGGCTTAGCTCCTGGCCAGCGTGTCTGTGAAACCTGAGCAGTCCCAGAGTTGTGTAAAAATGGCATAATCCCACTGCCAAGACAACCCAAAGTGCGTCGCCAAAAACACCATAGCCAAGTGAAAAGTCAATGGCACTTGGCTTTGTGCATTCTCCGCTCTCATTAGATAAACATAATCATCCAGGACAGGGGAGATTTGCTTTCAGTACACCCCAAGATGGTTCCTGTTTTCCCAGAGATGGCTTGATGTACAATACCACACATTTTGTTTTGGCTTGAGGTATGTTTTTGTCTTCCACTTGGATAAGCCCAGGGCAGGTGACCAGAGAGAATAGGGTCAACACTCAAAAGGAGCAGAACTGACATGATAATGGCCTCTGGAACACTTAAGATGACAGCCTGAACAACAAAAGAAGGATGAGGAACTAGATAAAATACACAAGTAAATGCTCAGGATATGAGTTGCTACCCTGTTGCCCTCATGTCTAAACTGCTCAGACAATTCATTCCAGCTTGTATTGCTTACGTCTTAACCCAAGCTTTTAGAAAATGAACTATGAAAGTATTTAAGTAGGACTAGGATTTTCAAAGAAATCAATGCCCATACCACTTGATACCATAAGTATCCTTTCCTGGATCATTTTTGTATGTTCTTAATATGTATCAGAATATAGATATATGATCATATGATAATATTAAATATAATTGTTATTTTGTTCACAAAGTTCCATTAATTTGTAGTATTTCTTGTGGTATTAAAAATAATGTTATAGGATATTGGGCCTTTTTCGTTAGCAGAAAAATCAAGTTTTCAATTTTGGTATTATGACAGCCCTAAATGGACACTCTACACTTCAGATCACTTCATAGAGTTGTTACTTTATGTGAGGGAAAGGACAGGCTGCATAAAAGCAAAGTATTTTTTCTAAATATCTTGAGTACAGCACCCATCAGGCCACCTGGCATTATTGGACCTCTGTAGGAGCACATCTTCATTGCTCTTTAAGCAGACAGACGCTCCATATTCAGTGGGTTGTGGATTCTCCTCTCAGACTAGAGTTACAGCGGAGGCAGTTTGTGGTCAGGACACAGATGGGAAAACGATCGCTCTTGTACTTAGCGAACTAAAACAGCTATTACTCAATGTCCTGGCCTAAGAGGATGAGTGTCAGTTAAGGTATGTGACAAAGCTGATGTATAGGAAATCACATGGCGTTTTCATCTGCATTATAAAATGTAGACAATCCAACCACTATGTAGAATATACAAGCTTGGCTTTAAAATACAGAATAGTAGGCATCTTGTAGTCTACTGAGGTAAATGCGACAGCTTTCAGAATCTAATTTTCACTTTTTTTCCAGTTACATTAGCACTTCAGTTATTTTGAACTGATGATGAGTGTTTTTCACCTGAAGATGTCAGACAATTCAAACCATCATTAAGGCTGAGGAACTCATGCATAAATATTAGTCAGTCTCAAATGTGAATTCAAAATATCACAGTATTAATATGTGATTTACATTTTATTATCCAAGCATCTGGAAATGTTGAAATACCCATACAGTGTTACTAAACTAGTCTTAAAGTCTTCTGTAACCTTCTTGGTACAGTCTACACTGCAGAGGGCACAAACTTTAAGTGTTCAAACTAAAAGCTATTTCCCTCAGATGCTCAAAGCTGTTGTAGACAAAGATCAGTGGCCGTAGCTGCTCAGCCTGAGGCATGGTCCAAGACTAGGCTATCTGTGGGTCAGCACACAGCCAGGCTCCTACTGTGTGCTCAAGATTTGTTTGTTTCATTACAACGCTCAACAGACTGAATATAATTAATTTTCACGTCTGTTTCTCTGCTGATTAAAATGTTTTCTCAGATTCAGATGGACTCCAAAGTTCAAAGCAATTGCTTTACACTTGTATTTGATAAAGAGAGTCCTAAGGCACACAGACCAATGCCAGCTTTGATATCAACTAATGTTTCCATCAAGAAACATTCTCTGCAGAAATGATGATATGAAATCAAACATTTCCAGGTTAGAAGTAAATTTTGTAAACTCCTGTCTACAGCCTCTCTTAGTCTTTAAGTGCTTGCTGATGTTGGTTCTGTTGAATAATCCACACTCATAGTACATGCCTGTACCTGTGCTACGCTTCATATAATGTGGCCTCAGCTGACCTGCAGAGTTGATTAAAAGACGATAGCCCATGTTGTTCCAGGGTAGTGCTGTTTTAATGGATCATCTTAATTATCCATCAAGTCACTGCGCTGCAACTGAGCTGATTAATACACAGCAGTCATTAAGGCTGCAGTGCCCTTGGCCTGCTTAGAGATCAATCTGAGGCCTAAGTGGACAGGACACTGGCTGTGTGACAGCGACACAAGTAGAGCTGTGCTGTTAGCATGAGGGCGACCTAATTTAACATGCTCTGTTAGTGAATGGTTTGCTGCAAAACTCTCTTTATTAACTGGATAGGTGACTGAAATTCATTTTGCGAGAAACTAAGATATACTTTTAGCAGTAGACTGACTAGCATTTGTATTGCCTTTTATTATTGTTCCAAACATTTCATTCACAGCAGATTCAAACTGGTGTCACTTTGCAGTGATTTGTGTCCTGAAATGAAAGCTGGGGGATTCATGCTTTACTTGTTGTTCTTGCATAAACAGTCTCAGGGGGCCTTGTTGTAAACAGGAAGCCGAATGGATCCTGGAAGTCCAACTGTTTCTCATCATTGCACATCACTAGCTGCATAAACTAAATAGAAAACATGAATTGCAGGATTTGACTATTTACAAAATATAAACATGTTTCTTTCAGATTTTTAAAAAATCATAAAACATAACATTTTGTCCTATGTTGCACACAGCAAGTATAAATCTTGGATACACAAAAATATAGCATATAGCATTCTTATGATGGTCTTAGTCAAGCTTTACTTACATGCATGACCTGTCCATCCTTCTACAGCTTCTCCTCTTACTTTCATCGACTCTGCTCTGAAACAGGCCAGATAAATCCACAGAAACACGCACAGAACCACATTTGAAAGTTATCAGGAGCCAAACCGAGCCTTATACGGTTATAAAGAGATTGCTGTTCCCTTTATTTGGAAGCCACAGAAATCGTAATACATGAGGAAAATGGTCTGTGTCGTTGTCCAAAGTAAACGCAAAGATTCCCAACTTCACGTAGTAAGCTCATAATTGTACATAGCAGACTAGTGAGTCAGCCCATATGTCATATTGGCTTCTGCTGAATTTTCACCCCTAAACTGTCTGTTTTATTTTTAGCTTCACATGTACTGGTGGTAATGACTGTTCTGAGGTCTGAGATAAAGTAGTTCAACATGTGTTATTATGTCAGATGTTTATGCTAGTTTAGTTCAGCTCTTTCATTCATGTGTGTGCAAGGAACACCACAGGGCTGTCATGTCCATCAGAACCAAACCATTTGTGAGACAGAAAAGCCCTGGTAGTATCCCCCGGGACAACTGATAAAGCGTTTGGCCGGAAAGGCTTTGGACATGACTGCATTCCTTGTTAACCTTGCGTGGCTATTTTTACCACAGAGGGCTGCTGAGCGAACACCTATTGTTCAGCACCAAGTAGGAAAGACTAGTTTTCCCTTTTCCTTAATGATTGTATTCTGTCTGTTTGTTGTTTAGGCTCTTACACATGAGAAAACTTGCATACAGAAGAGGGTCTCGTCAAGGTTTTTCATATTTTACAGGATATGAGTTTTCACAACATTCCAATTGTTTCCATGGTTTCCCGGATGTGAATGCCCATTCTTCACATGCCTGTCCCAGAGTCTAGAAGTGTTTGTGCAAAGGCTCTCTTTAGATTAGTAAATAAATTTAAATATCTCAAATATACAGTTTCACTCATTTTATACACAGAAATGATTTGACACTGGTTGTAAATTGCAAGTAAAAAAAAAAAATTTTACAAAATTACAATGACAAAAAATGTATTGACATTGTTTTTGTTTGTCTTCTCTCCTCTTATATATCTTATGTCCTTGGCCTATCTGACCTGAATGGCCTGTTTTCACTGCATGTTCATTCCATGTGTGGGTTTAGTTGTGACCATGTTCTTCATTGGATCAGTCACACTTCTTGTTGATTTTTAGAGCCTTGATGAATTGGATGATGACGATGTTGGAGAGAAGGACAGGAGAGAGGAAGAGGAGCTGGTACAAGCCAACACCTTCCAAAACGAGGCCATGACATCGGACCCAACCACGGGACACTTAATGGTAAGAAAACAGGTTCTTATTTAATTAACTCTAACCATCTACTTGTAAATGTCCTTGAGCCAGTGGTAGAGACACACATGAGCTCTACACTGTTGCTTTGAGAAGCTCTCTGCAAATATGTCTGACACTCTCGTCACTGCTGCAAAGTATACAAAATGTCCATTAATCGCTTCCCTCAAATTAAATCTTCACAGGTCTGAAAGAGAGTGAAATAAAAGCGTATATTCTGTCTTCTATTAAATCCAGTTATTGTTCAAAAGATTTCCTCAATCACCAGCTTTATAGTATCAATTAGATATCTATTGTATTTGAGACAATGCATCTTTAGACAATAGCTCAGTAAGGCAGTTAGAAGCTGAAATAAGGCAGTATTATCCATGACAACAGGGTGCTTCTTGTCTGGCTCAGTGCCTCAATGAAAACAGCTGTGTTCATCAGAATTCACAGTGAAGGAAATGTCAAAATGTGTTTAGTGAAATGTGCCTTGTTTCTAGCAAAGTAAATATGATGCTAATGAAATGAGCCTTTAATGTTGGCAGGTAATATTATGTTTATTTAATAAAAGGGAAACCATGCAGAGACACTGAGTCTGTTTTTTTTTTTGTCCCAAACTTGTCTGTTTCTGCAGAATAGGCATATGAATGAATTATCAAAATGAAACCAAATCAGCAATGACATGCTCATAATGTGAGTCATATTTTTGACAGGCACAGGAGCTGATATTCAGCAGGCTGTTTAGCATTTCTTTAGGTCTGTACAAAGACATGAACAGACACATTTGAAAGGGTGTGTATCAAGAAGTGATTGGTAGAAAGCTAAGTGATAGGATCAGTCATAATTTTTAGTGATTTAATAATTTTGTCTTAATTAAAAGCAGATAAAACAAGCCTTTCATATTGCCATTCTGCCCATAGAACATACACACTGTGTATATAATCATTGTGATATAACACAAACTTTGCACATCAAAAGTGTGAACTCTCTTAATTGTGACTGACTGAGGATTAGCTGTAGACCACGCAATTAAAGTCTTTATTTCTTATACAGTGTTTAGCTGGAACGGCATGTAACATTTTGCATCAGGACCCACCAGATGTAAAAACTTCGCTTTAAAGATAATTATTTTAATAGTGGTATTATATAACTGTTTTACACAGTAAGTCTTCCATATTTAAGTATTTTTCTATGATTGGGATACAAAAAGGCTTTTGAAAAACATGTATATAAACCAAATTGCTGTGCTGCTGAGTGACAGCTCTTGGTGAGGGCACTTAGTTTCCTCCAGATGGATGGGCTGTTATGCATCAGTGGGTTTTCTGTTTGGGGATAGAGCAGGCTGGGATCGGGCTGGGGCTGTTTATGCACACTGATGACTTGCTGTGTGAAGTACGTACACAAACACCCCACCAGCAGGAGCATGGAGAGGTGTGCCACATGATGATACTTCATTTTTACATTTGGGGCGAAGGTTGTAGCAGTGCAGCCATGTGAGCCTCATTTCAAGAGAGCGATTTCATTTTCATCATTGGTGCAGAACGTGTGTGTTTTTGCTCCTCAACATCCAGCCATGGTTCAAACACCACTACATGTCCCACAGCCCAGCATATGATAGTGGCATTCATATTAGTCAGACCACAACCAGAAATAAAATCCGTCATCTGAGATTTACCAGTGCCCTGTTGGTGCAACATCTGTAAAAGCAGAGCATGCCGAACATGCAGCTTTACTCCTGAGCCCAATACATCACAGGAAGACGAGCTCTGCCATGTCAGACCTATTATGATCTACACCAGGCCCCTCAGCTGCTATCAAGACACCGGTACCAAAAGTTTGAAGAGAAACTCACTCCACCCTGTACTGCTCCTGTTTCCGAGCATTTCCCAACTGAAACGGGCTGTAGTATTAGCTGACTGACAGAGATGCAATGGCAATATAAAACCTTTTATCAGATGTTATTACATTTGTAACGCTGTCTGGAATAGCGACTGAAAAGCTGGTCTGCGTTTTGATTAATTTGATCAGGATGTGTGTGAGGGCTTTCAAGCATGAAACTTTCCCTTTGGATACATATATTTTCAGGCTTAGAAACAGCCAGAGTACAGAGTTACCATGTGGTCCTTGTTATAATGCCTTACCTCCCTCAACTATGTGGCTCCTCCAAGGAAACCTGCCTGAGTGATCCTTTGGTCAGAGGAAAAAGGAACATTCCTCGGGATCATCTGCTTTTCAAGTGGCGCCAGGTCCACAACAGAGAAAGGCAGCAAGTTTCTGAACTCCAAAATCAACTTATTTGTGCACTGTTCAAAACGTATATAGGTGTGATGCAGGGAGATGACTAGATGTAACTGCATTTAGGACATCCAAAGAGATGAGGATCTAGCTCCTTGAGATGTGCTTTCTCATTTTGAGGAGGTCCACAAATTCAAATATTTATATTGTAACAGAGTGTGGGGTGATGCTCATATGCATAATTATCATTAGCTTGTGTATGTGTAACATAAGGTTTTCAACACATTAATTCTAATTAGTTATATTAGTATTTCCATCTTAGTTTATATCCCTTTTTCATGTCAACAGCATAGTTACAGCTAATTATGTATAGCTGGTGCTCAAGTGTTTTGTTTTGTTTTTTCTTTTCACTCTGAGGTCTTATTTTGCCTGTTAATGGATTTAACCTCTCTATTTCCTGTAAATGTTGATAATGCAGGTTCAAACGAAGCTCTCACTCCTATGTTAATGTTTTTTGTTTTTTTTTTTGCTGGCAAATTTTTGGACCTCCAATTGTGTGACTAAGATGGCATTTCTTAGGAGATTCTGAAATTAAATGAGCAGAAAAAATATTTGTCAGCGATAAAAGCCCTCATAAATGTCAGGGCAACACAACATTTGAATTTGTTTTATCAGCTTGTTGAGGAGTCCGAGCATAAACCAAATGTTCAAATTTGACAGTGATAGCACTTGTCCTATTGATATTTGGGACTGCTGAAAGAGGCTCAGATGTCGGCCACTGTGCTTGTGGGAGCTGTCGGCTCAGCTAGAGCATGATAAACTTCTACAGGCTTGTGTGTGTGTGTGTGTGCTGTGTGACTGGTGTATTGAAGTAGTTCTGCCTGAAATGGTTTGACCTTGTCTTGAAGATTCATATCCCGACAGGTGGTGCACACCGGGAAACTCCACCTGAGTAATACCGCAAAAGTCTGGACTGATTTCAGTAAGCAAGAATTAGTTCATTTTAGGATTCAGGGAGACTGTAGATTGGATTATTTCTGAGCTCCAACACCACAGCTAAAAATCCAATCTTTGAAAAAAATAACACGAACATTTACATGAGCAAAAGAAAACTAAACTATCAGTAAAATATTTGAGTATGATTGTGGTCATTGCTACAGTTTCTTTGATTCTAATGCACACTATTGCAGGTGGCAGTGGACGTGATTCAATCTATAAGTATCATATACTTATAGATTATTCTGAATGCTAAGCCTAAGAAATCATAGTTGCTAATGTTATGTCTGAGCACATCACATTATGCAAATTGACTGCATACATTTTTCTACACTGACCTTCATCCGTAGTGCTACGACTCATATCTCGTTCTTTTTACCTCAGAAAAAAATATATTCAATCCCGTCTGCTGAGTCTCCTCCACCAGCCTCTGAACGCTAATCTGCATTCTGGCAAGACCTCCATTAATATCCCAGGAAAATGCAATACTTTTGTTATGTGTTTCTATTTAGATTCCAGCACAGCAGGTTTGCAAGTCATAAATACAAAAACTCTTAGTGGTCAATTGTTATATCCCCTTCTATTGTGCAGACACAATATAATATGATTAGTTAATACTGTAAACACAACAGTGACCACTGCATTAATACAGACTATACTGTGTGCTTATAGAGGCTGTAGTAAGATGCATTGCCAATGTATTATATTGGAAATAAAAATGGTAAACACATGTACCTCTTAAATCAAATGGTGTTGTGAATATTGGTCAAGCATAACATTGAGACCAGCTAATGTTAGGATACAGCTCATGTATAATAACTAGTATATTGGTTTGCTATAGGTTTCTTCATCTCAGTATCTGTTTCTGTCCACTGCAGGTGAAAGATGGGCACAGCATTTTCATCCAGAGCTAATGGATGGTGTGTCAGGGAGAAGGAGAGGCTGATGCATGCTAAGAGTGTCCACAAGATTTCCCTTCATCCTCTGCAGCTAGCTCCTCTGACAAATTGTACAAAGCCACAACTCCTCTGTCAAGGCAGCTCTCTTTAGACCTTAGGAAAGACAGGCCATGTATTCATCTCTAGAATGGCCAAAACAAACACTTATTTTTCTGGTATTTTTCCTTGGGGCAGTATGGATCTAACCAACCTTCAGATGATAGCGTAATGGGAAAGAAGATAAACATGCATCTTTACGTGTATCAAAACAAGATTGCCTCATTTGACTTGAGGCGCTAGGTGTCCAGCTAAACTATTAAATGCAGCAAATATGGCCTATATATCAGTTTAGGAGCTGGAGGCTTTCTGCAAAGGCTAGGGCTGATAAATTGCTGTGTCATTTCACAAAATACTAAAGTTCATCGACAGCCTAACAACACAAAAACACATACCTAGTGGTTTATTAACATTGTTTGGATTTTACTCTCATGTGTTTCTCATGTATTTTCCAGGAAACCCCAAGAGCTGGAACTGGCCGTCACAAAAGGTAAAAAAACAAAACAAAAACAAAAAAAATATTTATTTAATATCCTACTTTTGAAGAACAAATCCCCACCAGTGTTACCACTGCCCAAGTACCATGACTGCCCCTGTGTCTGCTTTGTTCTGGGGTTAAGTTATGGAGATGTCTCTGACCCCAAACAGCCAATTGGAATCACAGTCTGTTCATGTCATTAAGCGGCTACTCATCAGATGGTGTAGACACACTCTGGTGCTCCATGGGTCTGCTCTGGTCAGCCTGCCAGGTGGACTGGGCACACACGGAGGAGGCCTTTTACACCCAAGATCACAGCCACTTGCTATGTCGGTTAGCTTGTGTGGTCTATTTGAGTTTCATTATATTTAGTTTGTTTGTTCCTTTTCTGGTATGAATCAGTTGAAATTGTATGCATGTTGGCATAAAAAAGTCTTTGTTTGTACTGGAATGGTACAAATCTTTTCTCTCCCCTGCTGGGCTAAATAGCTCACCAAAAAACAATGTGAATTAGGTTCAAACCTGTAAGGCCAAAAAAGACACATTTTTGACCAACCTTGAATGAGGATGAAACTGTTACTGTCTATCACATTGTTGTTGACTTGTAGCAAGCTGTAAATATATCTATTCTAGCTGGAGTGCTAATCAGAATCCATGGCATGCTGCTACTTATGGTATAAATCTGACTTCCTCCACTGTGACACTTTTTTTTTTTTGTTGTACATGCGGTGGCTGTAGCTCTTAGTTCTCCGGTGTGTGCTTTCTGCTGACCGCCCGCTGAGGCTCCCATGGGTTCTTGATTGGCTCAGCCTCTCTCTCCCTCAGACCTCTCTCTGCTGGATGCTAATGGGCCTTGGTGTGATATTTAGAATGGAGGCCATGGATGTTTAGAGTCTGCTACAGCACCTGCTGTGAACTGGTCTGTGTCTGTGTCCAAGTATGAGCAGGGAAATGTCTCGCATTGAAAACACACTAATTGACATTCTTTTTAATCTATTGTGTTGCGGAAAATTGTCTCATTTTTAAATTAACTACATGTATGTACTGTGAATCCATTGTTGAGCTGGCTTTGTGCCTCAGTAGATGGATGAAGAGGAGCGCACAAGAACCACAATAAGGAAGACAAATGAAACATCCGTTATCTGGACAGGGCGAGCGCACGGGGAGCATTTCAAGGACTTCCTTTTGATCAAAAGTGATGACCGTGCCAGTGTTTTCTTCTCTTAAAGAGTGACTTAAAATAGCTATTATTCAAGCAAATGCCAAGGTCATAATAGCTCACCTCCTGTTTGTATATGCTTTGATAACCGTAGTTGTAGTACTGCGATTACAGCAATAAGGGGGTCACTAACGGCACCAGTCCCAAGCATTGGGGCATTGGATTCCACCTATTGTGTCTCTAGGTAGAGAATCCATCTGCTGTGTTGAAAGGAAACACATGGAACATCGTAATGGATGTACAGTATAGCTATAGTAGTTCTTTGCACTTCGTCTAACTGCAATAACTCATTTCAAGTTTTCATATCAATTATTATTGAAAAATAAACTGCACATTCCCTTAAAGCTCTGCCAAAATCTGTCTTGCAGAAATAAGAAAGTGAAATAGATGGTTTTGTGCTTAATCCGCACATAAGCTTTTTCTTACTTTTCCATCAGGTTAAACCAGTGCCAGACACATTTCCACGGACAGTCTCTTAGCAATTTTGAAGTTGAGAAATAGAAATTGTTTCTAAATCAAAATCCTTTTACACTAAATAAACATTCCCACAATTCCATTTCCTGGTTAATGAAAAAGGAGAGGCAAAGGGTGGTTATTATGCATATCTAATTGAAAGGACAGTAATCCCACCTGTTCTTTTGATGATGCATGTGTCAGCCCCATTGAAGTTTAATAATGTGCCTGTGACTCACACCTTCAAACACGGCGCTCAAAGCACTTAAAGACCTGCAGCAGTCTTTTATTTGGGGCATAAGGGAACACATTTAATATACTTTTGCTATGTTTGTACAGCTCTGCAGGGCCGACTGTTGAGGACGAACCCAATGGAAACAATAGAAGACAAAATCGTCATGCTAGAGACGGAGCCTCTGCTGTGGCCAGTCTGGAGAAGAGGCTGGAGGAGCTGGAGAGGGTAAGAAAAATATTTCCATTAGAATTAGTGCTGTAATCAATATTTGGAATAATCCTGACTAATCGTGACCAAATGACTACTAAAATAATTACTGACTAAATTAGTAATGTATTACACTTATGTGGACTATACACCAAAATAGATTCTATCACAAAAAACAGCAGCATTATTTAAACTTATAGGGCAATAAACTATTTTATTTTTATTATTACACATATTTTCTATCGAGAAGCCTTCACACAGTATTTTTAATTACATTAATCCAGTTAAAATATATTCTCAATCAATGTACAATAGAATAATTGCTGTAAAAAACTGTTAGTTGCTGCCTTTATTCAAATGTACCCAATAGTACTAATAGATTGGAAAATAGTTTTTAATTCCTACTCAAGTGCTTTAAAACCTCTTTAAGAAACGTAATAAAACATAATCCTGAGAACATTTTGATTCGTAGAAAACTACCACTCTTCAAGTGAACCTTGAAGGCTGCCCTCACTGCCCCTTGTTAAGAAGAATTTCGACTTTGAGTCTTTAAAGCTCAGCTGCCTTACAGTAGATTTTCTGAAAAGCCTGAACTGAATTTCTTGAGCCTCATTGTTGTCACTAGAGATGACCTTTTAGAGGGCTGATATGCGTCCCTCCCACACAGCCACACTACCACTACAGCTACATCATTGCATTTAACTCTGCTGTGAGAAATGATCGGTTAGATCTGTTTATTTGCCATTTGTAGTTAAAAAACACCAGGGGAAAACATGCAACAAGCTCAAAGTGCACCATGGAACATAACCACATATATTACAGATGACATATTGACTGAAATAAACAACCTACAAAAGATGCAATAGCTAAAAATATGAAGGTGCTATATTAAAGTTCAAAGTGCATTGCTCAAGCTTATAACAGCTTGTGGGAAGAAGCTGTTAGCGCGACGCCAAGTCTTACATTTGATTGAGCGATATCTTCTTCCAGAGGGTAGAAGCTCGAGAGACCTGACACTGACAATTTAAACTTTATATAAAAAAAATAAAAAATGAAAGCAAGAGATGTTGGCATAAGGTTAAAGATTGATGTAACTTTACCTGACATTTGATTTTATAGTTTTAAAAGTCAGTTGATAGATTAGATTGTAAAAAGAAAGTAAGTGTTAGAAAGAAAGTATTGGTGTGACACATTGACCCTTAACTTGTGAGTAAGAATAGACTCTTCATTTGCAAGTACATTTATAGCATATTTATTCGTAGAGCTTTTTGCTACCTGCTCCATCAGTTTCTATGGAAACACGCTCCTGCTGAGTTTCATCATGTTAAGACAAGAATCAAAGTTTGAATTTTAGCTTAAACTTTATGAGAGATTGGTGTGCATTTCTCAAAGTATCAGGTCTGGACTACAGAACAGTAGTATATTCAAAAGCATGCTATGCACATTTCATTAGTGGCATGGCAGTGGAAAAACATCTACATTTTTGTGTTTCTTAGGAGCTGGTCAGAGAAAGGCAGGAGAATGCTCGGTTGCTAAAGGCCCATGAAGAAAAGGATGACCTCATTGGAAAACTTAAAGAAGAAATCGACCTATTGAACAGAGTGAGTTTTGCCATGTTGTGCTCTGATGTTGAGTATTTTCAGCAATTTATGTTTTCGTCCTCAGATGATTTGTGAAGCTGAAATTATCCTCTGGCTTTTTAGTGCAGTTGTGTGTAATAACTGTGTTTTTCCTGCAATCACTGTTTGGACGTCAATATTTTCACAGCACAGCAAAATGAAACGTACATTCCTTTTTTGCTTTGGTAATGGCACTTTACCATTTAATCTTTATTTTTAAAAAGAGAAGATATTGACCTTCTTAAATATTGGTAGCAATTATGTCTTTCTACGTCTGTCCTTAATAGAACTTCCATTACTCTAAATGTGAATCACATGTTTTTGAAATACACTCCAGGAACCTCTCCGCAGACTTGGATAGGGTTTGTTTGTTGAACAATGAAAAAAGAAACAATCAATACATGGTCTTGTGGAGACTCAAAGAATGTAAAAAATAAAGGGGAAAAAAACAAACTGAAAAGCATGAAAAGGAACATTAGACTGTCATTCTGTCCCCAAATTTGAAAACAAATATTGGCAGACATGACGTACACATCCCCAAAACTGTAGCTCTTATGATTTGCTTTGGTCTGCAGTGCTTTGTCTATCAGGAGCCATTCAAATAAAGAACAGCAGTGAACCATTAATAGATGAATATTGAAATATCTGCATAACCACCCTGTCTGTCCCTGGAACCCACTCATCAAGGCCAAATAATTTGCTTAAAATATTTGGAGAAAGAAGTAATCTGGATTTGTTAAAGAATACCTTCACAAAAACAATTAAAGCAAACTCATTTGTTAAGTATTTCCTTTAAGATAAGACATACTAACATGACAATTCAATCTGTTGAAACCTCAATTACCGTATGTACTGTTGTGCTAATATGTACTAGAAGTGCTATATTGCAGGAGACATCTTGTTGATAACATTGCATGCACAGGAAGCTGGTCATAAGAGGAGCCTTTTTGTAAGGACGGTAACATGTTGATAGCCATCAGAAACGTCTCACAGTGAATCTACAGCAAGGCCTGATGGGAAAGTGTGAGATAAGGGCTGATCCAGCCTGACATCTTTGCACAAGAAGGTTGAAGCCTGTGTGACTGTAAGTTTATTTAGGAGTGAAAGAAATGGATCAAACCAGCCACTGAACCACTATCAGCCACTTTAGACACTTTGAAGAGAAAGCTTGTTACGAAGAAAAAGGGGCACATTTTCAAAGATTATTGTAAATCACAGCTGGCTGCCACTTCTGAACACAATGTCTACCTGTGTAATTTGACAAAAATCAATCAGTGTTTGAATTCCCACTGCTTTCAAGCTCTTAAAATCACTTTTCTAAATGATAATGTAAAACCATTCACTCTTTTGTAGGATCTTGACGACATTGAAGATGAGAATGACCAACTCAAACAAGAAAACAAGACATTGCTCAAAGTGGTAGGTCAGCTGACCAGGTAGAAGCCCGGAGTATAAACCGCCGCCTCCTAAAGTACATTCCTGTGAAGAACATCTCTGTTTGCCCCAGGAGCGAGCTGCACAGAGGGGTCAAATGCATTCACCTGTTTACTCGGGCTTATGTCTGGCATTTACAGAAAATGGAAAGTCTTTTCTTTTGTTCTGTAAACCAGATAAAAATGGCCTCAAGGAAATTCCTGTCACAAATATTTAATGTGTCTATTGTATATAGTTGACTTTTAATACAGCATTTTAAAGCAAAATTGAATGTATATGGTGTACCCAATATAGAAAACATTAAATTTTATTTCATGCAACATAAACACATTTAATTCATTGTATGTAATTCCATTGTTAACTTCAAAGAAAACATACATTATATTTGCTGCATTCAAATTAAATAGTTTGAAGCATAATTTTAATTGCATTGATCAAAGTCTGATTTATGAACCAAATTTGGCATGAAAAGCAAAAAATTTGGCATAATATGAATTTTAACCATTTCAGTAGGTGTGTCCTGAAATTAGAGCCTGAGCAGCAAGTCAAAATCCTAGCTTTATTCCTTAACACAAGTGTTAATTTTTCAAAACTTATTGGATCCATATTCTGTAAATCTGTAAGCACACTTATGAGAACATTTAAGTAGGCCTTTTGGTGTGGACAAACTTTTTAGCACTTCTGAATGTTTTTCATTTCAATGTAATAATGTGTTGGTGGTCTCGCTAATGCAAAGTATTGTAAGCATTTTCTATAAGGTTGGTGTACATGCTTTGAGAAAGGGCTACATTGCATTTATGTATTATAACCAAATTCTCCGAAGGAACACTAATTAAAATGTTTACTCAAGGGAAAGAATCTTGCTGTTATTGCACTGTTAAAACACTCCTGGTTTGGATTTGACTTGGGAGGGATAAAGGCCTTCCTCTGGCTGACAGACATCCCCCATCTCTTTCCCCATTGCATTATGCATGTACAGGAGATTAAGTCATTTAATAAAAGTTTGATTATCTCTCTCCTCTGCCGACTCGCTGTGTTCATTAAGACTAATTTGATGTGATGATACCATGCCACTGAGTCAGTAATGTGATATGACTGAGGCCTAGCTTTTAACGCACACACTTTCATACACACAGAGAATGATGATTCAAATGTCAATCACAGCGCTACATGGTTGTGTAGAGCCTCCCTCGTGGAACATAAAGCCTCCACCCTCCTCAATTACACCTCCTAAATACATTAATTCTCCTCACCTAATGGCAGACCTGAGTGAGACCCACGCTCTATATACGAACCAGATGAGGAGCAATGTCAACTAAATTTTCTGATAATGGCCTCTTTCAACTGATGGAAGGGTCTGGAGATTTTTCTCATTATCGCCATTAGCATTTTTATGGAAAGATGTAGAGTTTGTCATTTGAAATAGTCACAGGAAATTCATTTCCACATTTTAACCAAAAGATACGTACCTATGGAGGTTGACGCAATATTTAACTGCATATACTAATTTACTACAAACATTACATTTCAGTATTATTTGTGGTCCTTGATCAGATCTTATGTCACAGATCATAGACATCAATAGCAAATAAACATTTATTCGTGTTTTGTTTTCTCACTTTTGAAAGATATTTCTGAAAAATAATCCATAACCCCAACCCTCACTCTGGCCCTAAGCGTAAACATTTGTTGGTTTGTAGGATGACTACAACCCAACATACGAGGGAACATATAGCTGTGGGAGCATAAACCTGACCCTGCTTTTTCAAAGTTACAATAAAAGCTCTTACAAATTGTTAGTCATACTGCCATTTGCGAGGAGTTTTACAATCTCTCTTCTCTTGGTAATAAACACTGCATGAGACCTCCTGCTAGTAGAGAGGTTGTTTTTAAAGCCCTGTGTCGTCACCTTGCTACTTATTGTACGTTCAACAAATTTAGAGGACTATAATTTTATTTTTTAAAGATTTCTCTACCAAGTTATATTAATTACTATAAATAAATAAAACAATAACAATAAAACAATACCAGAGTCTAGACTTTCTTTTATACTGTCTATTTTTCTGATGTACTTTAATACACTGCTATGTCTCGATCTAGTTCAATAAGTGAGATTCTGGGAGGCTGATATATCTTGCCTTATCTTGTTCTAGAAGAAACCTGGCAATATTTCATTATCAGTTGGCTTCATACTCTTGGTTCTTGGCCTATCTCCCCAATCCCTTGGGTCTACAACTCAAGGAAGCACTCATCCCCACAGGGCTGCACAGGTCATGCTACAACCAGTAAAATAGATGGAAAGCGATACCAGGCATATTTTGTGAGCTGACCTCTGCTCTGTCCTTGCAGGTTATTTTATCTCATACCATTTTTACTATTTCAGAATATAATATAAATATTTTTGAACATCTCAATAGATTTACATGCATTTAACTGCTATGATAATGAAAATGTAGAACTTTTTCATTAGTTCATCATAGCTACTTGTTTGCATTACATTACTTTCCATAATTTGAGGGGTTGTATTTGATTTGTTTGCTTCTGAGATCCTTATATTTAACACCCACTAACAGATGCCATTATAAACTAGAGTGTGTAATTTACTGTCGTCACTAATCATAATGCTCTGTCTGATTGGTGTATTGTGCTCAACTTTACATAACATACTTTGCATATCCTATGTGATTTTCTGATCAACTGGGGCATATGTTCTTGCTTTTGGCAGACATCTAACACACATTAAAGAAAAGGCTGCAATAACAAGACTCCACACTCTTCAAATGCAGTTTTCTCAAGCCCTCGACCACATACAGCTCTGGCCTTTGCTAAAACGCCATGTAAATGTCATCTAAATACTACCACACTTTACAAACAGAGAGAGATCAGCTAATGGCAGTCCAAAGGCTTGACATTTGCCAAATCACATTATTTAACTTAATTGTTGCTGTAGGATTGGTGAACTTTAATTTTAATATTTGAGTTTTATTGTGTAAATGTCGGCAATAGATTGACAGCCATTTTTCATGTTGCCTGAGGCTGAAGGTTACTTTGTCTCAATTGTAAAGTGCAACATTAAGTGTATTAGTGCTGCCATTGTCCTCTTAATGGATACATAGACTTTTATTACAGTGTTTTTCCTATTTTTCAAACATATTGCCATGAATCAACACAACACTTCGCATCACTATTGCCCATTTACTCCTCTGCTGTGCTGCTACGTGCCTCCTACTGTTCTAACTGTCCTTTCCCGTGAGTATAGCGTCATAAATCTGCATGCACATCTACATGGTTACTTGTTCGCTGGTGTCAGATTTGCTTTGTTTTACATCCTTGTTTCCGCACAGACAGTGGAAAGCCCCCATGTAGTGAACAAGCTCAATCACAGAATCACAGACCTGACTGGCTTGGCTCGTCTTGTCTCTACTGGGATTTAAGTCATCTGTTTTCCAAAGATCTTCTCTGCTCCCCTTATCCCATTGTTGCCATGGATACCAGATATGTGCTGTATCACAATCAATCTTAAAAAAAAAAAAAAAAAAGGTCTGCTCATTCAATTACACCCAACCTCAAGCCATCTGACGTGATGCTGCATATGTGAGGAATCTCCATTTGATTGGGTATACTAATGTCACACTGAGCACAAAATGCCAATGTATTGACTTCTGCTGTTGTATTTGCCACCCGCTGCCTTCTAATGGCTACTGAAAACATTACAGTAAAAATCATATTTTTAAACCAACAGTGTGATTATATCAACTCTATTTAAAGAAGCCTTACCCTCTGATGAAAAAGGTTCTATACATCTCACTTCCTTCTTTTCTCCTGTGGGGGGCAGTGTTCCCACCATTCATTGTAGTTCTATTTATTGGACTTGTGTGGTTTGAGCCTTGATTATTATAGACCATAGTGAAAATATACTGTCAGTGGTTAGCTATGGGAATAAAGCAGGCTAGTAATATGATTTATTGGAGGTAGTTTCTTGAAACAAATCCTATGTAAAACATTGTGTTCAGTTACATAAAAGGGAATGGATGCATTTTGTAACAAGCCCTATCCACTGTAGTTTTCTCATTATAGCTCTAGATAAATTATTAATGATAATCAGATTAAACAAATGCCTTTAGTTGAGTTGTTGCCATTTCTACCCCTTTCCTCCATTTGCATTTGCACTTCTGTTTTAATTAGGCCCTCAAATAGAGACAGAAAGATAAATAACTAGATAAATAGAAAAGTGGTAGAACAAGAGAGGAAGATAATGTGAATTTGAATGTTGTTGATGACTCACAAAGTCCATGGCAATAGGAATAAGAGGCGGCTCTGGGGAAGCGTCCGCAGCATCTGAAGGTCACTCTATGCTGTTACCATGACAGCGAGGACCTCCCTCCGCTGAGTTAAGGGCTGATTAGAAAAGTTTGAAATCTACATACTATGTACATACTATGACCATTGGTAATTAAACACTAAGACAAATTATAATAAAACAAGAAAAACTTCCTTTGCTGTGATAGCAAAATTACATCTGCCCACCACAGTGACAGTGAAAATTTTAAATTTACTGGTTGCCATCCTTTGTAGGTTTTTTAATGGATAGAGATATGCAGATTATGCATATAGATGTGGATATCTAAGATTTGTTGTTGATGTAGTTGTAGTATGTGTTTATTAGTTCTAAGGCATAAGATAATTGCACCTTTATTCATCACACACTGCAATGTTTCAACAGAGAAGTAGAATAGTATAAAAAAAATAAATCAATAAATAAGCAATAATAAAGGGCTTATTAAACCAAAATAAAATTTTTTCCCCTAAAAAACTATCTTCCAAGTAGAATAAAAAGCTAGATGGCTTCAAACACGTTTGCGTACTATTATGGACGGTTAATGTGGTCATAGATGATAACAGTGTACCTTACTTGGCTACACTTAAGATGACATCTGCTCCCTCCTCCTCCCTTCCTTATTGTGGGCACATTGGAGTCAGCAGGGGACAGGCAGAGGTGCGTGTTCAGCCCGCAGCACTGTCTCATTCGTGGTACCCCCTAGGGAAGGACGCACTAAAACACAAGACACATCGTCAAGCAGCTTGTTGGAGGGAGTGAGATCCCAAAACCATATATTTGCAAGTCCGAAGAATCACAAAACAGACAATCTGCAAAGAAATATGGGATTTTATGGTGCATGACGTAACTTTTCTGGTGGAATGTCTACCACAGAGATGTTATTGTTTTGACAGAAATGTTCCACAATATGGCATTAGCAGGTGACACAACCAGGCCAAGTTACTTTACTGAGAGGCAAGTCGCTTACAGAGAGAACCTTTGTTTCTTACCTAATTTAATAATTAATACATAATTTAATTTCATTTAAAAATTTGCTAAATAAGCTTGCTTATTGCTACAGTTGAAGGGCAAGGGAATAACATTTCCATGGTGAAGGATTACCGCACCAGCAAAGTTACATAGAGAACTGTTTGGTTTTGTTTATTTATTTGAGACAGGGACAGCACACAATTTTCGCATTAACCTTGACAGGAGAGATGCATTGTACATCAGGTTGTAGCATCAGTGCTAATTTCCACCTGTAGTCCCTGGACAGGTTCATTGATTGATTGTATTTAACTGACCTTGACTATCAACTGTTCTGGAGACCTGTAGCATGTTTTGGGTTGATGGGTTAACTGTGCTTTACTCAATAATAGCTCTATAGGGCATTTTAATAATGTTTGGGGAAGAATTGGAATTTAATTCCTCTGTATATTTCCATCTGAAATTAATCACAATGAGGACAAAAGGTGTCTTTGATATAAACTGAATGAAATAATACTACTGACTGTGTGGTAAATGCTTGCATGCAACTACAGCTTGCATTTGCTTTCATGGAGGAGGGTACCCCAAATAAAATGTTTTACACAGAAGCTTTCACTAAAACACAAGGAACAGTATGATGAGCAAAGCCTAAAAAAAGGCTTTGTGGAATAAAAAATGTTTGGGGTTTCACCTCTCTTTGTTTCGGTGCAATATGT